CTCATCCATCTTAATATACGCATTTCTGCCGCACTCATCTTAGATATATGTTGTCTCTTAATGGCCCAACATTCACTACCATATAACATAACTGGGCGGATTACAGTCCTATAGAACTTTCCTTTCAACTTAATAGGCATCTTGCCATCACAAAAAACTCCCGTAACATTCTTCCACTTAACCCACCCTGCCTTAATCCTATGTTGAATATCTTCTTCTATATCTTCTTCGTACTGCACTATAGACCCAATGTACCTAAACTTTCTAGAAGCCCCAATCTCTACACCATCTAAAGAAATTTCATCACTCTGATTACTTGAGTTACTAAACCTACAATGCATGTATTCAGTTTTCGTCTTACTTAACTTAAATCCCTTCATCTCGAAAGTCTGTCTCTACAGTTCTAACTTACGGTTAACTCATTCTCTGTGTTCATCAACTAAAACTATATCATCCGCAAAAAGCATACAACAAGGAACATTATCTTGAATTTCTCTTGCCAACTCATCCATCACAATGGTGAAAAGATAAGGACTAAGAGCAGAACCTTGATGAAGGCCAATCCGAATGGGGAACTCTGCCGTGTAGCCTCCAGCAATTCTCACACTCGTGACCACCCCATCGTACATGTCCTTAATTACCTTGATATACCTCACATGCACTCATCTCTTTTCTAGCACCCACCATAAAACTTCCCTCGGCACCCTATCATATGCCTAGTATAAATCTATAAAGACCATATGTAAGTCCGTCATGACTTCTCTGTACGTTTCCATCAGCATCCTAAGAAAAAAAATGGCTTTCGTGGTTGATCTGCCTAGCATGAAGCCAAATTGGTTACCTGAGATGGTAGTTGTGGCCCTTAATCTCCTTTCGATAACTCTCTCTCAAAGTTTCATAGTGTGGCTTATTAACTTTATGCCCCTATAAAGTCGTGGCCCTTAATCTCCTTTCGACAACCATCTGAGATGGTAGTTATAGCCCTTAATGGTTCAAAGGTATGCAAGCTAAAAAAATCCTTGTACAGATGAAAATAGTCATTGAGGGCCTAGTTCGAAAAATTCACTCAATCAGTAAAACGACAAGGGTACATCCAGGGACAAGCCGATCATCCATGTTTATAAAGCATTCCTGTGATGGGAAAATAGTTGTTGATAGTGTATGTGGATGATATCATTCTAACTGGGAATGATCTGGTGGAGATGAACCAGCTAAAGAAGTGCCTCTCATCAGAGTTCTCTAGATGAAGGATTTGGGGTCTCTGAGATACTTTCTTGGAATGAAATTGCTCGATCGAAGAAGGGAATAGTCGTCTCACAAAGGAAATATGTCCTTGATCTCCTCAAGAAAACTAGAATGAGAGGTTGTAGACCAGCAAACACTCCAGTTGATCCAAATCAAAAGCTTGGAGATAGCAAGGAGATCCAGTGGATACATCTCGGTACCAAAAACTAGTAGAAAAATTGATTTACTTATCACATACACGGCCTGACATTGCATTTAGCGTGAGCATAGTAAGTCAATTTATGCATTCCCCTTATGAGAAGCATCTTGAGACTGTGTATAGGATCTTAAGGTACTTAAAAAGCACACTAGGCAAGGGCTTATTCTTCTAGAAAACTGCACAACAGAATATTGAGGCCTATACTAATGCAGATTGGGCCGGCTTGTCATAGACAAGAGATCCACTTCAGGGTATTGCACGTACGTGTGGGGCAACTTGGTTACTTGGAGAAGCAAAAAGCAAAACATGGTGGCATGAAGCAGCGCAGAGGTAGAGTATAAAGCTATGGCTTAAGGATTCAGTGAGATGTTGTGGCTTAAAAGGATACTAGAGGAGCCCAAGATGCCAGTAAACATGCCTATGAAATTGTACTGCGAGAACAAGGCAGCAATCAGCATTGCACACAACCCGGTGCAACATGACAGAACGAAACACATTGAGGTTGATACACTTTATAAAGGAGAAGATTGATGCTGGAGCTATTGTTTGCCTTTTGTTCCAACCACGCAACAAATAGCTGATATACTCACAAAGGGATTGTTCAGACCAAATTTTGAGTTCTCCATCAACAAGTTGGGCATGATAGATATCTATCCACCAACTTGAGGGTGGTGTCGAAGATTTAGGAAAAGCCTAGAAGTTAGGAAGTTTTTATTTTAAATAAAATTCGAATTTGAATTCAATTTGAATTCACTGATTCGGAGATTAGGATAAGATTGTTAGTATGTTTCTTTTGATTTGATTCGGTGTAGTTAGGATTCCTATTTTCCAGCTAGATTGGAGGTGAAGTTGTTAACCGATCTCTGCTATATATTCATGTATTTTTCATTTATTAAAATAATAAGAAGAACGATTATTTTCTTCTCGAAACTTACAGCTTTCCTCAATGGTGATTTGGAAGAAGTATATATGGAGATTCCTTCAGGTCTTGAGACAAAGGCAACCATGAATAAAGTTTGCAGGCTCAGAAAATCCTTATATGGGCTCAAACAGTCCCCGCGTGCATGGTCCGAGAGATTCACTAGGGTTGTTAAAAGGTATGGGTACTCTCAGTGTCAGACTAATCATACCTTGTTTGTTAAACATTCATCGGAGGGAAAAATAGCTATCATCATTGTTTATGTTGACGACATTATCTTGACTGGAAATCATGAAGAAGAAAAAGGAAGACTCAAAGGTTTACTGGCTAAAGAGTTTGAAATCCAAGATCTGGAAAATCTCAAGTATTTTCTTAGGATGGAGGTCGCTACATCAAAGAAAGGCATTTCTGTCTCTCAATGAAAGTATGTCCTAGATCTACTGAATGAAACAGGAATGCTTTAATGTAAGCCTGCAAACACTCCTATGGATCATACAACTAAACTTTGGAATGGTGGAAGGAAGTGCTCATGATGACAAAGGGAGGTACCAAAGGCTTGTAGGGAAACTCATCTATCTCTCGCACACTAGACCCGATATTGGGTTTGCTATTAGCGTTGTCAGTCTATTCATGAACAACCCAACAGAAAAGCACATGGATGCCATTTACCGAATTCTCAGGTATCTTAAAATGACTCCTGGGAAGGGCCTCTATTTCAAGAAGCCAACAAAGAAGAGTGTCGAAATCTTTTATGATGCGGATTGGGCTGGCTCAATAAAAGATCGAAGATCTACCTCTGGATATTGTACCTATGTGTGGGGGAATCTAGTTACTTAGAAGAGCAAGAAAAAATCCATAGTGGCTAGGAGTAGTGCAAAGGCAGAATTCAAAGCTCTAGCCCATGGAATTTGTCAAGGAATGTGGCTGAAACATTTACTCAGGGAGCTAAAAATTCCATTAAAAACTCCAATGAAAATGTTCTGTGATAATCAAGCTGCCATAAGCAATGCCAAAAATCTGGTCCATCATGACAGAACTAAACATGTGGCGATAGATCGTCACTTCATCAAAGAAAAAATAGAGGAAGGAACTATCACTCTCATGTACACTCCAACAGGTTTTCAAACAACGGATATTCTCACCAAGACTCTACCAAGAACTAGCTTCAAAGACTTGAGTTTCAAGTTGGGTATGATCAATATCTACAGCCCAACATGAGGGAGAGTGTGGAATTATGCTGTTGACTAGAGGATTTACAGCTGGAATATTTCAGCTTCACTAGTTTCCTTGTTTAGAGGATTTGGATAGTCTATTATCCCATCCTTTTCTCTTGTAATTTATTCACTAATTTGATTGATGATTTCTCTCCACAAATCAAGGATTATTTTCTGTTTTTTGTAAGATTTCTTGCCTAGGGTTCTTGTATATATGTTATGTTCTTGCTCTTGTACTCGTTGAAATAGATGAATAACAAAAAGTTTTCCCATCAAAAACTTCACGTAGGCACAACGAGGATCAATTCTTAGGGACCGGGGCGACCAAGCATACCAAGGCTCCCCGACGTGCCAACGCTCACCAAGGCATGGCCATGGCTTCATCACGTAGGCACAACGAGGATCAACTCTTAGGGACCGGGGCAACCGAGCATACCGAGGCTCCCCGACGTGCTAACGCTCGCCAAGGCATGGCCATAGCTTCATCACGTAGGCACAATGAGGATCAATTCTTAGGGACCAGGGCTACCAAGCATGCCAAGGCTCCCCGAAGTGCCAATGCTTGCCAAGGCATGGCCATGGCTTCATCACATAGTCACAACAAGGATCAATTTTTAGAGCTCAGGGCTACCGAGCATACTGAGGCTCTCCGACGTGCCAACGCTCGCCAAGGCATGGCCATTACTTCATCACGTAAGCACAACGAGGATCAATTCTTAGGGACAAGGGCTACTGAACATACCGAGGCTCCCCGACGTGCCAATGCTCGCCAAGGCATGGCCATTGCTTCATCACGTAGGCACAACGAGGATCAATACTTAGGGACCGGGGCTACCGAGCATACCGAGGCTCGCCGACCTGCCAACGCTCGCCAAGGCATGGCCATTGCTTCATCAAGTAGGCACAACGAGGATCAATTCTTAGGGACAGGGCTACCGAGCATACCGAGGCTCCCCGACATGCCAACGCTCACCAAGGCATGGCCATGACCTCATCACGTAAGCACAACGAGGATCAATTCTTAGGGACCGAGCGTAGTCTTTGGGCATGAAGGCATTCTTTTTTTCTTTTTTACTTTCTATTTAAAGGCATTCATGGAATTCAAATATAAGATAAATGACATCAGTCAAGTGTGCATGAAGCCAGAAGATATTGAAACCGTCAAAATTGACGACATGAGGTCACTTTTATGTTATATGGGATGACTTGTCCAATTTTGCAATGTCATTTGCTTAATGGCAAGAAGTTTTCTTTTGTTCCATTTGCAACCACATGGTTCAAGTTCTTACAAATCACATTTTAGAGAAAAAATTATGAAGAAATATACCTAAGTTTGCCATTGCAGACATCTATGAGTACAGGGACATAGTCTTTTCGGTGACCTAAATGAAAAGGATGTGGAAATAAACAATTGAGTACTTACTTTGTGATAGTGTGTAATTGCTGCAGAAAAGTTGTCCTGCATCATGAGAGGAACAAAAAAAAAGAACGTTAACATACAACATTGATCATCATATTACGTAAAAGGGAGAAAATGAATACCTTGATATTTTACTTTGTCTGAAGACAGTCCCATACCCATTGATTTATTTCAAGCAAGACTATACCTTAATTATACATATAATCGATCCACCAACTACCAATTTATGTCTTTCATTAGACAATGCTGCACATGTGTATAACATATGCGGCAGACATCTGCTTAACTCTTTCTAATACTCTTGACAAAATTAGGAATCATCCATTTAAAGACATTTTTAAAATAAGTGTCCAAAAGGACATTCACCGTGAACTTAAAAGGGAAAGGGAAAAAAAATCAAATTTCGAATGCATTTTATGCTGCTATTCATACCTGCAAATGATAGGTGTATGCAAGACCAGCATAAGTGCTCACACTTTTTGTTGATAATGCAAGTGCTTTTTCATAATAAGCAATTGCTTCTTCATACAGCCTGAGAAAAAGAAGATCATGTTTTAGGCATCAGAATGTTTAATTTCATAAACCAAATCAGATAAGAATCTATAATTTCGTAATCCAAGTTCAATAAGAATATATTCCTACAAGAGAAGCGTAAGTGTCAATATGAGAAGAGAGTTTTAGGAGGACTAAAAAGACAAGCTTTGACGCCTGAGGTTAAAAGTCATCTCAACTCCAAACAAAAGACAGTTCCCTACAGATAAAGTATAAGCAAACAATAAATTAATAAATTAAGTTGATCAGAAGAAGGAAATCACAACAAAAGACCAATTCAGCAAATTTGGGTTTGGACATTCTCAGGCTTTCAGTCCGGGCCGACAGTATGTTAAGAAACTCGCTCAACAGAAACCGACCATTAGCTTGTATATCGCTTGCTTTAAAATTCGTGTTACCAGGATTCCTCCCACAACCAATCAGAACAGCACTCTTATGCCCAAATCAAAGTCCACATTAACACCACCAACCACCTTACGATTTTTTGGGAAAGACAACAACATCATATCCATTAATCAAATAAGCCTTCCTCTAATAAACAATGTTAATCAATATGCCCCAATAATCATGAGGTTCTCGCATGTACTAGAAGAATAAAACAAATCCACTGGTTGTAGAAATTTAGGAGAAAAAGATAGATCAATTTGCACAATACGCAGACTTGGCATCTGTATACAGGAATATCTGGCCATAAGGTCCTGGATTTCCTAGTCCTACGGAGACAGAGTCAAGTTTCAATTCTTCCAATTAGTTCAATGCTAACTTAAAGATGGTAGGAGCATTTATTGAAAGAAAAAAAAAAGTGTGAGAAGTTCGAATATCAGTAAATAATTTTCCAGCCTGATGTGCAATCTTTTCATAAAGAATAAAACAGTGAGGATTTCAATAGCAATTAGCTAAATGATTGCTTGAGGCCTACAAGGAAAATTATGTCTAATCAGCAAAAATTTATTGAGAACAAAAGAATAGGTGTAAAAAGAGTTCCTGAAACAGCAATAGCAATTGCAATGTAAAAGAGAACCTTTTTTAATTTTTTCTAATTTTCTCTGACATAACCAATATATACACCAGTTTGTGAAAATAGAGTGATGAAAAACACTGAGAGTGTGTAAATGCAGAAGTAACAAATACAATTTAAAAATCAATGTTCATCTTTACGGTCAGCAATATTTATCCAAACTTAACTAAAGACACTCCGGGGGAAAAAGAAAGACAACTTTCATTGAGTTTTCAGACTTGTACTGTAGAATTACTTGTTTGCTCAAGTTGTTCCTGACCTAAGCCGATGAAAGAACTCACATCACCCAGAAAAACAATAGCTTACATGACTGAGGACATGGAAATGCACAGAAAATTAAATCCAATTTAGAAATCAATTCACATCCACATAGTCAGCAACACTCAATATAAAGCAGCTTAAAAAGAACTAAGAAACCAACACTTGTTAGAACCCTAGAGCTTTTAGATGATTACTGTAAATACACTAGAAGTACAAAATAAGAACTTATCACGAACTTCAATTTCCTGCAAGCATGAGCAATGTTGACCACAGTTGGTTCCCACATTTCACTTAAAGGGGAAGGAATGTGGGCCAAAGTTTTCTCAAACCACCGTACAGCTTTACTATACCTGTATTATAAGCAAATATTTCCCGATTAACACCACAAAACCAAGTACGAATCGAAATAGATATGAAATTTGATTATAAGTTCCCAATTAAAATTAGCCCACCATCGTCTTATCAGGAGATTAATCTACTATGCAAAATAAACATGATATCTGATTGAAGCTCCAAAAATGCATAATTTTTTTAATTCCACAAATCTTGAAGTCTCTCTCAATTCCCACAAGTCAAAGAAGACTCTACAGACGGACCACATAACTCATTCTTGTAACCTATATGCAATATTTTCATTTAAAATAGACATTATTATGCTCTTGAATATATTTTGTACATGGGAAAGAAAGAGTGCATGTAATTGCCCGACTTTAGCATCTTAGCTATTTCCTTTTTCCCTTAAAAAAAAATCCTTTTTTATGAACTTCAATCTCTCTATGCAAGATTGTTTTTAGAAGCAGTGATTATTTAATGCCAGATGTTCAGCATCCGTCATATCACTTTTTTAAAAATCTTTCTTACTTGCTTCTTTTTTTAAAAATCTTTTCTTACTTGCTTCAGAGAACAAATGAGCTATTTTAATTATAATTGACACAATTTACTTCCATTAACTCAGGGGGAAAGAAAAGAGTATTCATGAAGGAAAACTTCACAAAGTTCTTAAAAACAACTTTCATGTAACCAAATTCTAAATGTTATGCAGAAATTTCTAATCTATAATTTTATTTCACAAAATTACAAATACATGAAAACTCTTTAGAAAATGCTATGAAGAAAAAGAAAATCAAATATAGAAAGTCAAATAATTCAGGAGGTCATCATATACTTACTCCTTCATGTGATAAGCAACAACTCCTAGCTCATTATAGACAAGTGGATCTGATGGGCAAATACTCTTAGCCTGTATAAAAAACTGAGGCAGACAGATTTTTCAGTAATCTAGCAGTTCCATAAAGCAATAAACTTGTAACAAATAAGACGTGAAACTTGTTATACCCCCGTATGTAATAGAAGAAAGATTGCATTTACACCCCCCAAAAAAATCAGGATATCTGAAATGACAAAATAGGGTTATCTATGCTTCTAAGCAACCAAATTCCAGAGATACAGTTGTACTATTCAACTCGCAAGCACTCATTGTTCCTCTTCAAGCTTCTAATCTAACCTTGTTTTCCATCCTTATGAACAAAGAACGTTGATTTGGAAAAGAGTGAGAAACATGGAGAAGGGAGAACTGGAAGTTCACTGATCAAAAACTAGCACCTTTAATAACTATTGTATCAATTGCCATTAGAAATTTCCAAAATCCCAGTATCTTCGTGCTTAACAACTATTCATTGGATTTAAATACTAATTTAATCAAATTCTAGACTACTCTGAGTACAAAGTACGTCCTTGCTTAAAGTGAATAACCACCATGACCTACTTCTACGTCCACAATTGTTGACGAATTCCCGATTCCGCTACATTCTAACTTCTTCCAAACTTAAAACAACAAACATCTAAATCATATAGCAATAATTAGCTTCTCAAGTTTAAGCATGGTATAAGCTCCTGTTCTATTTACAAAGAACTTATTTCTGGAGACGTGCAACGTTAGAAAGGTTTCCTTGTACATTTTTCAATTTACATTTAGAAAACTCAAAAAAGAATATTGGGAATGATGATTTCATTCATTGAGTAGACTTTTATACAATTACAACCTAACTAAAAAAGGAAACAATATCACTAATTCTAGGAAGTAAATAACTGCTAACAATACTTTCCTAAATATACAAATTTGACACCTAGCTAATGATACAATTACAGCTATACACGGATTCTTTCCTAAACACAGTTTCGGTTTTTCTACACTCCCCCTCAAGCTGGTTTAAAAATATCTTTCATCACCAGCTTGCTTACTAAAAAATCAAACTATTTTTTAGATAGTCCTTTTGTGAGCAAATTAGCTACTTAATCTTCAGTCGGAACCTAGATCATGCATATCAAACCACCTTCTATTTTCTCTTTAATAAAGTGTTTGTCCACTTCAACGTGCTTTATGCAGTCATGTAAAATTGGATTATGAGCAATAGAAATAGCAGCCTTATTGTCACAATACAACTTCATAGGTAGAACTTCTGAAGTTCTCAACTCCTGCAGTATTCTCTTGATCCACATTACTTCACAAATACCAAGGGCAACCGCCCTGAACTCAGCCTCTGCACTACTCCTTGCAACTACATTCTGCTTCTTACTACGCCAAGTTACTAAGTTACCACCAACATAAGTACAGTATCCAGAAGTTGATCTCCTATCAGCTATACTTCCAGCCCAATCTGCATCGGTATAAGCCTCAATATGAAGGTGTCCTCGGGATTTAAAGAGAAGCCCTTTGCTTGGTGTCCCCTTTAAATATCTTAGAATCCTGTAAACAACTTCAAAATGCTCAGGGCCAGGTGAGTGCATAAACTGGCTAACTACACTTACACAGAAGGCTATGTCCAGACGTGTGTGTGACAGATAAATAAGTCTGCCGACAAGTCTTTGATATTGCTCCTTATCCTTTTCATCTTCAGCGCTGGCTAGTTGCAACTTTACATTTGGTTCCATAGGAGTTTCTATCGGTTTACAACCCAACATACATGTTTCTTCAAATAAATCAAGTACATACGTACATTGATTTACAATAACTCCTTCCTTAGACCTTGCAAACTCCATTCCAAGGAAGTATTTTAACACTCCCAGGTCTTTGATTTCAAATTCTTTAGTCTATCCATTTCACTACAACCATCTCCTGTCAAGATAATATCATCAACATACACAATTAAGATGGCAACTTTACCTTCTCTTGAATGCTTGTAAAACATGGTGTGATCCGCTTGACTCTGTATAAATCCGTACTTCCTCACTACCTTGCCAAAACAATCAAACCATGCCCTAGGTGACTGCTTGAGTCCATACATGGATTTTTTTAGTCTGCAGACTTTTCCAACCCCAAGTTCTTCCTCAAAGCCCGGTGGTAGGTTCATAAACACTTCTTCTTCTAGGTCACCATTGAGAAAAGCATTTTTTACATCAAGTTGAAACAGAGACCAGTTAGAATTCACAGCAAGAGTCAATAAGACCCGTATTGTATTTATCTTCGCAACAGGGGCAAAAGTTTCTTGGTAATCTATTCCATAGGTCTGATAAAGCCTTTTGCTACTAGTCTGGCTTTATACCTCTCTATACTACCATCAACTTTACTTTTGATTGTGAACACCCATTTGCACCCTACAACCTGCTTCTCACTAGGTAACTCAACCACCTCCCACGTACCATTCTTCCTCAATGCCTCCATCTCTTCAAGCACGGCTGATCTCCAGTTCGGTTTATCAAATGCCTCCTTAATATTTCTAGGCACAACAAGTTTTGAAATCTTTGTAGTAAAAGCTTTATACTTGGCAGAAAGGTTGTCATAGGAGATGTACTTGGCAATAGGATGTCTAGTGCAAGTTCGGGTTCCTTTTCTAAAGGCAATGGGAAGATTAAGGTCTGTTTCTTGGATAGGAACAACAGGTACAGGGTTCGGACTAGATTCAGGAGCAACTGTTTCACTAGAATTTGGAATACAAGATAAGGAAGATGGAGAATTAATAGTATCTAAATTACCTAATGCATTTGGATGGACTTCACTCGGGAATTCCTCATGGTCGCGTGCTGAGCGAGACAAAGAATCTTTACCTCTTTCAAGGATATTTTTCCTAGAATAAACCACAGGCTCAAGATTAGATCGATTTTTTCCATTCGTAGTATTTCCATATCTGACAGACCAATGTCAAACTCAAATTCAGTGTTTCCAGATTAAGTGATCCTAGTTTTCTTATCTATTTCAGTAGATTTTGCTTTAATAGGATCAAAAACTATTTGTGGTAAAGGTTTTATTTCCCAAAAATTTGACTCCCCCAGCTTCTCCCCCTGAATTAAATTTTTGCGGAAGAAAGGTAAATTTTCCCAAAAAGTTGCATTCATGGTAATATGAAATTTCTTAGTCAATGGGTTGAAAAATTTGTAACCCCTTTGATTTGGAACATATCCCAAAAAAATACATTTTTCTACTCTTGGGTCTAATTTAGACCGTGATCTTTTTGGAATGTGCACATATGCGGTGTAGCCAAAGATTTTTAATGGCAAATCCGAGTTTATACGGGATTCTGGAAAAAAAAAAAATTCAAGCAATCCAATGGAGTAATATACTGCAAAACTCTAGTAGGCATCATGTTAATCAAATATGATGCAGTTAAAACAGCATCTCCCCACAAATATTTTGGCAAGTTCATGTAAAACATCATAGCTCGAGCTACTTCTAAAGATGTTTGTTCTTTCGCTCGGCTATTCCATTTTGTTCGGGAGTATTTGGACATGAAGATTGATGTAAAATTCCTTTTCGTTGTACGAAAGTTTCTAAAACTTTATTGTAGTACTTTGTTCCATTATCTGATCTTAAAATGCTTATCTTTGCTTGAAATTGATTTTCTATCATATTGTAAAAATCTTGAAATATTTTTTCAACTTCAGACTTCTCACGCATCAAATAGACCTAACAAAGACGAGTATGGTCGTCTATAAAGGTTACAAACCATTTTTTACCTGAAACTGTGGTTACCCTTGAAGGTCCCCAAATATCACTGTGGAAAAGATAAAACAGTTTTGTAGGTTGTTATGATTTTGGAATATAACTTTTCCGTTGGCTTTTTGCAAGCAAACAACTTTCACATTTAAATATTAAGGGATCAATATTCTTAAACATTGATGGAAACAAACGTTTTAGATAGATAAAACTAGGATGGCCCAATCTGTAATGCCAAACCATTATTTGATCATAAGTAGACATAGAACTGATACTACTAAGCACTTGAGCAATTTTAGAACAAGGTAAATTATCCTCAAAATAATAAAGACCATTGATCATTCTAGCACTGCCAATTGTCATCCCCGAGTTCCTATCCTGAAAAACACAATGAGATTCAAAAAAGGTAACAGAACAATTAGAGTCTTTGGAAAGTTTGCTAACAGACAAAAGGTTGCGAGCAAGTTTAGGGACATGGAGGACAGATTTTAGATTTATTGTTTCTGAAATTTGTATCAAACCTTTTCCTGCGATAGGGGAAAAACTACCATCTGCAATCTTAATCTTTTTGTTTCCAGGACATGGTGTATAAGATTGAAATAATTTAAAGGAATTGCTCATATGATCGGAAGCTCCTGAATCTATTATCCATGGAGCAGAAGAATTAATGCAGCAAGATAGAGTTTTTGATTCATTACCTGTGTGTGCCACAAAAACATTTGGAGGATCAGATGACAACAAACCAGATTTCAGTAGTGTAAGAAGATGCTCCATTTGCTCTTTGGTGAAAGGACTGGCTTTGGCCTCATTAGCAGTGGGAAAGCGTCCAGTTTTCTCTCCTGCCTTGCTCTTCTAATTCGCAGGTTTCCCATGCAGTCTCTAGCAATTTTCACATGTGGCATGGTTTGTCGCAGTAGTCACACCACACACGTGGTTTCTCACCAAATTTGCGCTGATACACAGGAGTCTTGGACGATGTTGCTCCAGTGGTCACCAAAGCCAAGCCTTCTGCAGCAGTCCCAAGTCCTTTCTTGCCCAACATAACATTCCTCCGACTTTCTTCTCTCCTTACTTCTGAAAATACTTCTCCGATTGAAGGGAGAGGCTGCCTCCCACTGATTCTCCCCCTAACTTCATCAAACTCAACGTTGAGTCCTGCCAAAAACTTGAAGATACGGTCATCTTCCACAACTTTCTTGTGGTGGCGTGCATCTTTTGGTGATTTCCACTCATAAGTGTTGAAAAGATCCAGATCCTTCCAGATACGCTTCAACGAATTGAAGTACTTGGTAATATTGTCCTCTCCTTGCCGCATCTCGCCAATTTTGAGAGTCAATTCAAATATCTGTGATTGATTCCCCAAATCAGAGTACATCTGATTAATATTTTTCCACAGCTCTTTTGCCGTTGAATAGCACATATAGTTAGAGCTAATATCCTCTTCCATAGAATTCACGAGCCACGTCATAACCATGGAATTTTGAGCATCCCATGTAGCATAGCCAGGATTCGTCTCTGGTGGAGCCTTCGTTTCACCTGTCAGATATCCGATCATTCCACGTCCTTTGATATACATCCGAACGGCTTGTGACCAACGTAGGAAATTATCACCATTCAAACAAATGGTTGTAATTTGAACAGAGTGGGAGTCGCTCGTCTTGATAGGATCGGCTGTTTTTGGGGAGGCAGAAGTTTTTGGAATGGTAGTGGACTCGGACTCAGTCGACATATCAGACATGGTGAATTGAGGGTAGCAGAGAACGAACGGAGAGAAGGAGGATGATTTCTGCCCAAAAACAGTCTCTGATACCAACTCGAAAAAGAATATTGGGGAATGATGATTTCATTCATTGAGACTTTTATACAATTACAGCCTAACTAAAAAAGGAAACAATATCACTAATTCTAGGAAGCAAATAATTGCTAACAATACTTTCCTAAATATACAGATTTGACACCTAGCTAATGATACAATTACAGCTATACATGAATTCTTTCCTAAACACAGTTTTGGTTTTTCTACAAGAAAAACTCAAACTTGTGGAAAAATACAGATTTGCACTCTCAGCTCTAAATTCATGCTTCACAAAGAGCTAACAAGAATACTAATACCAGAAAGAAGTCATCAAAATTATTGTAATAATATCAAAAATATGAGTCCGTCAGAATTTGAAGTTTATTTCAAATTCTAACCAAAGTAGGACCATAAATGAAAATTTAAACATGTTTTGGAAGCAAGGCACCTGCTCAGCAAGTTTAAAACTGCGGGTTCGCATGTACTCCATCCCAATGTACAAAGTTGGTAAATGGCACCTGGAATAAGAGAATATCAAGATTCAACCTGTAAAAGGACAATTCATAAATAATAAGAGAAGTTTCACTCCGTACCACCTAGGAAATAGATTAACAATGCTTATTACAAAAAAAAAAAAAAAAAAAGGGGGACGTAGATTAGCAGTAAAATGGTATCTCAATCATGAGCCATGATGATAGACAAACTTTAATAATCTCTTGTTTATATTGACAGAGTAAAGCGAGCTTTTAACATGATTCCCTGAGAAAATCGTGATATTTTAATTGTCAATCTCAATTTAGGACCCACACGGCATTCTAGATGTCACATTTACTAAAATTATGCAATCAACCAGAGATATGCACTTCCAAAAAAGGGCGAAGAGCTTCAAATCAATGAAGTAAAACAATAAAGCAAAAGGTTAAAAAAAAAGACACATGGATTTCTGCACGAACCTCATGAAGGCCAACAAACATATTCAACATTTATAAATAAAAAAATAAAATAAAATAAAACGAAAACCCTCCTTGTCATGTACCCAAGCGCCATTGCAAAAATGAAAAGAAATTTAATAGTTGACTAGTTTTTTTTTTTTTCTTTATTAAAAAGAGAGGAAAGAAAAAACAAAATACGTAAAGAAACAAAAGAAAAGATCAAAAGAGTGGTGCTAGTACCCTGGAAAGAGACGAGCAGCAGTGCGATAAGCTGACATTGCTTGATCACCCTCTTCTTGAGCAGCAAAAGCATTGCCATAACCTATCCAAGCAGGTGGAAAGGTTCCATCTAGACTGGTAGCCTTACTGTAGCATAGAGACGAAAAAAATCACTTCCAATTAACAACATTAAAACACTGATAAACTAATAAAGAAATATAAATAGACAGAGGTAGTAAGCTTGAACTTAGTTTAAACTACCAGACACAAAGTGCAGCACCTTCAAATTGCAACAATTATTTTTCCTTTTTTTTTATGAGAAAACAAGCATTATTTGATAGACTAATAGCGTCAATACTCTATTATGTGTATTTAGGATGAGAAACGTGATAAGATTCTAACTAGAACAGAGGAAAAAGAACTGAAAGATTGAATCTTTATTGATAAAACAGTGATGGATCTCAATACAATCCTACAAACCCTAACAATGGTGGTATTCGAGAGACCACCAATTCTCCCCAGGTTACCCAAATTTTCATTATCCCTCACCACATTAACAACTAAACCCACTCTGACTAAGTGCTAACCAAATTCTAACAAACTGCTAACTTCTCTAACCAACTAACTAACAAGATCCTATCATTACCCCGGCCCCAAACAAACACCTTGTCCTCAAGGTGTAAGTCAAGAAATCGCATCGGAATGACTCCACCTTCTTCCCATTTTGATAACCCCAAATCTTGGAATGTCGAATGGAGCAATGAATCTCAGAGAGACCAACTCAACAGCGACTAACTCAGAAACAAGGAATCTTGGAATCATGATCCCAAGAACGATGATCCTAACAGCAAAGGATCTAAGAGCAATGCGCTCAAGAATGTCAAACCTAGAAACGTTGGGTTTTGGAGTAATGAACCCCTGGATTTTAGAACTTCCATCTGCATTTTCAATTCCAACTCTTCCTGACCCAACCACATTTCCTTCGGTAATTTCAAACCTAGCACCAATCTCGTCGAAAAAATTGAGCCAACCCCTAGCATGCAGGAATTCCAAGACCTAGCCCTAATTTCACCAGAATTCCATGTCCCAACCCCAATGACGCTGGTATTGCGAGGCCCACCCTCAATTGCACGGAAAGCAGCCCCAATCGCGCCGGAATCAACGCACCTAGTCCAAATCCGGCCAGAATTTCGAAACCCAGCCCAAATCTTGCCGAAATTCACCCTGAAAATCTCTGACCAAGTCCCAATCACGCCGGCAGATGAAGACCCAGTCCAAATTCCTCCAAAATCAGCCCTAACGACGCTTCAATTCCAAGACCCAAACCTAAAATTGTGAGACCAGCCCCCCCCCCCCAAATCACTGAAATCAGAACCTATCTCGCCGGAGTTTCTAACCCCAAGCCTAATCACGTGGGGATAGGAACCAATTGGACCGGAATCGTGAAACCCAACCCCATCAACGCTCGATTCCGCCCTGACTCCGCAGGAATCTTCAAAATTGACGCTCAAAAAAGGTTTGTCTCCTCCGTCGGTGATTTCTGACAATGCTCCCTGCGATTCCCCTCTCAGACGCCTACATTCCTTCTCTATCCTCCACCATCAGCGTTTTCGCTCTCTCTGATGCTGCAAAGAATTGCCTTTGTTCTTCCAACATCTTTCGAATCGGAGCAAAAGAATCCATTACTTCTTCTCTAACTTCCCCAATTTCCTTCATCACTGATTCATGAACTTCTCTGATTTCTTTCTCTAACTCATCCAACCTTCCGTCGAATCCTCCTCAGCCATGCCCAAAAAAGTATGCTCTGATACCATTTGATAAGATTCTAACTAGAACAGAGGACAAAGACCTGAAAGATTGAATCATTAACAACTAAACCCCTTATTTATACTACTAGACCCACTCTGACTAAGTGCTAACCAACTTCTAACAAACTGCTAACTTCCCTAACCAACTAACTAACAAGATCCTATCAAAACATTAAGTCAACTCGGACCACGCCATCTAAAATGACACACCTAAGTCTAAGGGGAAATCAAGGGAGGAAATGCCTAAATCATAATTTGATACTGCTCCAAGAAATAAACTACTAGTAGAGAAAAAGCAACTATCTATACTTGGGAGAGATGCATGTAATTCAAAGGTTTCAAGGTTTACTATGGAATACCTGAAATAACGGCGTGATTGATCATACTTCTTGATACAATAGTAATAGCAACCAACAGCGAACCATGATAAAGCCCTGAAAGGAGAAAACGTCCGATTGAGTGATCTACTAAATGCGCAAGAGAGAATGAGCATCTAAGAGCAGCAAATGCAAAAGAAAGTCTACAATCTGTCATTTGTATTCTACTTCATCGACATCAATCACCATTCCAAAGGAAATACAAGACACTTCACAACGAAAGTTTTGCTCAGTTTACAAGCTTTTGAACTTCTGTTAACCTTAAGGGAAAACCATTTCATTCATAATGCATATGCAGCTGATGACTATTTAAAATAAGTAAATATGCATGCAATATCTTCATAGAGAAAGTGAATGAAGTTGTAAGATAATAAAATCAGCCTCACTTCTGAGGATAGTCTTTCACTAGATTGCATGCCATAAGATAGAGTTCATTTGATTGCCCAAGTTCCATGGCAGCTGCAAGATGCACTAGTGTACTTTTCAGATGGAAAGGATCCTTTTCAAGTAGTCTGTAAAACAAATGTAACAACACAAATTAAAAAAAGCTATTGAATACTAGAAAGAAAACAGCTTTGAATTTAGATATTTTTCCAGATCAGATACCAACATACATGGAGGTTAATTCAAAGCATTTTTGATATTCACCGCACTGGTGATAGTACTCAGCTTTGCAGGCCAAAAGATCAGTGTTGCTTTTTAGATTACGCATGAAGGATAAATCAGAAGGGTTGCTATTGCAACTTTCTTTCTCAAGTTCTCTGAATTTGGCTTCTACGACATACTCTTTGTCATACTAGAGAAGACAAAAAAAAATGAACCAATTAGTATTAGAAAACCAGAAATCATATAGCTAAATAACAAAATGAAACAGAGATGTAGAAGTTTGTTAACATGTTAAACATTTAGATTTGGACGCAATCTATTGTTCTAAAATTTACCTTTTTTATTAAACATGAATAGAAAGATGACAGCCATCCATCTTCTGCTCCAAAGTGCAATGACGATAGGAGACTTGTTTCTGAAATTCAGCAACCAATCCAGAAACTATAATTAATTGACCATGAGCCAAGAGTAATTTCACCATATACATCCAAAACTACTGAACAGAAACAGTGTCAAATAGAGAAATTCCACCCAGTACCACTCTGCTATCAATGACAAAGGACATGCATAAATAATTGGAGGGAAAAAAGACTAGCACCGTCCTATACCTTCCTCACATGAAAGCATGTGATTTTCAATAAGACATTCCAGTGCCTGAAAAACATCAAGAAAAACTATGTGAAAAGTATTAAGGATGAATAATTGTCTACCCAACGAGCAAAATTATTCTAGTTCATTTAAAAAATCCACTTAAAAAGCTAAAAATGATTTTCACTTGTCAAAACAAGTTGAGTGAAACAAGAACCAAGATGATCTTAAAAAACTAAACATAATACATTTTTAAAAAAAATCCAAATATCAAGTGAAAAATAACATAGCAATAATTATAATTTAGTCATTTCCAATGTTCAAAATATTTTAAGCTGGCAATGAAACAGACAAGGAAATTAACTTTGGCCAAGACTTATAAACCAAACAAAAATTAAAATATAATTCCAAAAATACCTCATAACATAAAGGGTCAGCTTTGATAGCAGCTTTGAACCTTCAAAAGAGAACAATGCAAATATTGTAGAACAAGATGGATAGTAAACAACAAGAAACGATTCATTTAATGCAAACAAGAAAAACCATAAAGCAGCATTCCGTGAAAGCAAGCTAAAAGAGGCAGGAGGACAAACCACAGTCGAGCTTGGGAACGATTTTCCAAAGCTTCATATGCTTTACCTCTCAGAAAGCATATTGCAGAAGATATCTGCAAAAGTGTAGGAATTCGTGAAATTACCATATTACCAACCAAAACTCCACAAAGACTGATCAACATTAAACACAAATTGACAATCATCATTTTCATTGCAAAGAAAATTTTCCAATCTACTAGTCTCAGCATGAAAATTCAACAAAGTTATAAGCTTAACCACAAGGTTCTCACTGCAGAAAAAATGATCTTTCTCACTGGGAAGTTGAACATGCCATATTACGGACACAAATTCTTTCAAAAGCCTGTACCAGTAAATCGGGGAGAAAAAAGAATTACATTGATCTCGCGATCTTCACCATATTTATCCAAGTACATGGCATTGCAATCCTTGGTATCATAAACATTCCCATGTTCATCCACTTTAGCGTCGCCAAGCATTAGAAGACACTGATCCCACTCCTTCAGTTCCTCCTAAAAAAACATAACATCCAAACTTATAAACGCCTAAGAAGTAAGAAACAACAAAATAAAAATATATAAAAAAATAACCTTGTATTTACATAATTACTTAAAACATCAGTGCATTATAGTAAATAGTATAAAGCTAAAGTGCATAAACAAATGCTAACCAACCAAGAAATTGAACCAGTTGGCATTAAGCAAAGCTAAGAATTTTAGACGCACGTTACTACTACTAATTATTCAAGTAAGTTAAGCAACAAGAAATGAACTTAGCATTTGGAATAGAATGAAGTAAACTCATAAAAAAAAAAAAAAAACACTAGATACTTTGAAATCTTGGATTATACACAGTACTCCAAGTAATTCATTCCTTTGGTTTTTTTTTTTCCAAACTAACAACCAAAATTAACCTAATTTCTTCAAACATGTATTTGTCAAGCCCTAATTTCAGAAGGGGAAAAGACAATCGGTTCGATCAGAGAGAGAGAGGGGATTAAGTTACGACTTACAAGGCATTTGGCGGCGAGGTAGCGGAAGCGGAGGTCGCGGAGGACGATCTGGGAGGCGTTGAGAAGGTGGTAGGCGCGGCGATAATGGCGGCCGAGAAAGAGGGCCTGAGCCTGCATGTAGATGTCGGCGGGATCGTTGGTAAAGGCGGCGACCTTGTCGGCGAAGAATATGGCCGACGAGTACAGATGCTTGCTCACGCAGTCCCTCACCACCCCTCGAAGCTTCTCGATTTCCTCCTCTCTCATTTTTCTTCTCTTTGCTCCGATCGCCTTCAATAATGATGAGGAAGAAGAAGAAGAAGAAGCAGAATAAGAATAACAGAGCACTGTTACTGTGAGGAGGAGAGAGAAACTAGAGAGAGAAGTGATAGCGAGAGTGTAATCTTGAGTCTGAGAGGGTTTTTCCTTTGGAGGTCCGTTCAATTGAGGCGGGAGGTTCAGACTTCTGAGAGAGCCATCTGTATTTTGAATTTTAATTTTTATTATTTTATTTAGGCTTTTTCTTCTCTCCTATAAAATGACATTTTTGCCTCACTCTAAATTTATAGAGCACATTTGAAACTCGTTTTAAAATAATTTTATATTTTGTATAAAAATAAAAATAAAAATATTTTTAATCTCAGACATAAATCATTTTTAAAAATGTGTTTGGTAGTTTTATCAAGATATTATTTTCAGTATTAAAAAATCAATTAAAGTCTATATCTCTCTCTGTGCTCGAGAGAAGAGAAAACGGAAACAAAAAATGAAAAACGACTAAAAGTCGTTTTTCATTTCTCTCCTATTTTACACTAAACTAAAAAATCATTTTCATTTCTATTTTTTATCTTTTAATTGTGTCAAACGTCATTTTTCTCCCGATTTTATTTTTTCTTTCTCAAAAAACGTGAAAAACAAAAATAAAATCAACTCCAAACATAGTAATAGTGTTTATTATATTAAAGGTAATTAACACGGACGGTCATTAACTTCTTTAGTAGGTGACAGTTTAATTTTTATTTTTTAATTTTAACAAAATGGTCCTTAACGTTATTAAATTGGTACAATTAAGTATTTTCGTTTAGATCCGTCAAATTACTCACATTAAAACTCATATTAAAAATCATATGACCCAAAAGACGAAATTGCTCTAAATTCGTGTTTGAGCTGGAAAATTTTGAATATTTTTAAAGATTAATACATTTTAGGAAAGGGTAAATTAAATAAAAACAAAAAAGAAAGAGAGAGAGAGAATTATGTCGTTCTCTCTCAGGACCTGAGGGCTTTTGCCCTAGTCACCGTCGGCCTTGGATAGCTAGTTCTTTCTGCCTTTTGCCAGTCTAGCATCGGATCTTGCTTTCTGAATGTCAGTATTTCAAATCTGTGGTACTTTCTTGCTGGTAGCAGGTGTTTCTTGTGTTTGTTTTCTTCTCATTAGGCGCAGGACGGGTCCTAAAATCTAGTTCGTGGGGCTGGTGCTCGAGTGCAGGTGGCTGGCAAGCTTAGAATGCGTCTCTCCGGCGTTGGATTGGAGGTGTGTTTGGTTTGAATTTGCTGCGTTCTTTCAGCGATTTTTGTTGATCTAAGGTTGGTGAAACCAGTGGTTTGGTCTTGAGGTAAGGTCTTTTTCCTCAATTTATTTTCCTCTGCATTGTGGTGTGGTTGGATCTGGTTTGGTGGTCTGCTTGCGTAGGTTTGTGGTTGTTGTAATCATGTGGTTTTTGTGAATTATATTGGCTTAGTTTGGTACCCAAAATTAGCTTCTACTTGTAGCAGAAGTTAATTTTAGTGTTTAGTAAATCTTCTCGAAAGTGTTTTTTGAAGAATTTTTTAACAATCTACCGTCAAAATCAGAAACAACCTAAAGACAACTTTAACTTTTAGATTGTGCGGGAATCAACATAATACAATTAATAAAACTTTCATAATACCCCTAATAAAATTTAAAATTTACAATTTTTCTAATTCAAAATTCAGACTTATAATATAATATAATATAATAGTAATATTATAACAAATAATACCATAATTATATTAATAACTCTAATATTATTATTTTATCATATAATATGATATTATTATAATTATTTTAATAA